TTGTCCTGCGCCTGGTTCCAACACACCCTGTTGTCCTGGGAGAATCAGGATACACAAAGTGAGAGCAAGGTTAGAAAACCGAATACATTTTAGGACGCAGAACGTAACACTATTTGTAAAGTGATGAAATACCTCAATTCCAAAGGTAGAGGTCACCACCACCTCACAATCATCACCAGCAACAATATAAAGCCACACTATCCAATTATTTCTATAGTGCATCTATAACTTCTGCATTTTTTTTTAAATCCATCCACTCTCAGGCTAGTATATCTTTACTTTACAAAATTTCAAATTCTTGTACATTCTTAGCCCAAATCCCACAAGCTGTTCACAGCAATTAGCGAGGACTCTGACCAGAAAATTCCCTACTGATTTTGGAGCTTTTACACCAAGTTCTGTTGCAGCATTAACACTCACCCCCACAGAATTATTTTTAACAGGAAGCTCCTAGCTGTCTCTTCACCTCAAGCCACTTGCAATCCTTCAGCACATTAGAGCAACATGATCAGCACCAAGCAGTAACTTAGTGTTTTTTTAAAAAAGTAACCTGTTTCAGTGGCAAGAAGAGAATGAATTTCATATTTGTAGTCAATGAATTATTATTCATTAAGCTACTTGAAGTGCTGAATATGATGAGGCCAAAATGATCAGGTGGCATTACTAACAAAAAGCACCAGAAAATAAACCATAAGACAAACATATGTGTATCCCAGAAATGTGTCTTTCAAGTACTTAGAAATATCTTCATAATACAAGAGTTGAAACCAGACCCCTGCCACATTACATTTGTTTTTCCTGCAAGATCTGGAGGTTTTGGGCATCATCGTGCTGGGCAACAATGTAAGAAGCCTGTGTTTACCTCATCCAGCTTTTTATTTCTTTTCGTGTTAGAAATACTATTTCTTGAGTGCAAAATACTGCAAACTATCTTGGTCCAAAACCACTGTGCATCAGTGTGATGTTCAACTAAACATTCACATCCTGTGACACACATATAAGATCCACTTATACAGCCAGCCGTAGGCCATCGTGATCCTCATCTGAGCCCTAGAGGTTCTCCCCTCTGCAACAGGGCAAGCAGGAAACTGCTAGAACACTCAGTATAGCTTAAATCAATGTCCTTAGGCTACTGCAATATCCATAGGCATTTCTTATAAAAAGACCTTGAGAAATGACAAGAAATGGGGGGAGGAAAAAAAAAAAAAGCAAATATGGCAATGTAGAAAGACCTTTGTGTAGAAGGAGAGCTATTATTTTCATATCAGAAGGGAATAAAAAAGGAAAAGAGGGACTGAAGCAATTGTTTTCAGCTTTTCTTTTTTCCATGACTACTGCTATTTTTGTGAAAAAGTGACATTTGCTTTGGCACCTTTGAAACATCAAATCTGGGCCTCACGTGACTTGGTGAGAATCCCAGTCTGTCACAGGACAGAGCAATAGATGCCCCATTTCTTTCCCAGGAACACTGAAACAAGGAAAGACATTTGAAGACTTCTGAGTACCCTGAGCCAAGACCTATTTCAGATCTCCTACTGTAGCCAAGCTGGCTGCAACTTTCTCTTTCCAAATGCTCACAAATTCCTGATAGAGGTTCTCTGATTTAGATTAACAGCTTCTAGGGAGAGAAGGAGCAAGAGAGGTGCACTCCATCATGCAAGTCTCAGTCCTGTGAGATAGCACCAGTCAGCTCCTTGAATATGCAAGATGTAATTCATCCTCTGCAAAAGCTGCACCTGCTGCTTCGCTATGCACCAACACTTAGATTTAAGCAAGGGTTGCAGACAGATGTCTCCTCCACCCAGGTATCTCTTGCCTCTGCTAAATGGGGGAAGGAGGAACAGAGGTGAAAATATTGCATTTATAGATCTCTTGACTGAAAGCTTCACCTTTTACCTGAGGCAGATAAAGAAGTAATTAAAACATACTGAAGTTACAAAGTAAAGTATTTGGCAGAAATTAAGTTTCTCATACCACACTGCTGAAACATACACATTCCTAAAGTAGACTGAAAGACAAGATGTAGGTACTTAAGAATACTAGTTATTAATTAATCAATCTCAGAACAGGTAATTAAGAACAGCAATTAATGATGAAGCTGGAGAAGAGCTGCACAATGGAAGTCATACATATTAATTCTGAATTGTTTTGCTGCAAAAGCAACAGAATCCTAAAAAAGCCTTCCCCCCCGCCCCCCAAAAGGACATGGCATGGAAACTTGTAACAGAAAGCCATGTAGGCTTCAGATGTTGAAAGCAATGCTAATAATACCGGAACCAAATCCACACGAGAGCATCAATTTCCTATAAGAAAAACATCAATAGAGGTACTTACATCCTCAGTTTCACCACAGTAACAATAGATCCTCAACAAATGTTAAGACACTGTGGCTGTAACTGATGGTGAACTTTGTATGTTTAAATGACATTTGGAACTTCATAAAATTACAGGTATGTTTGCACAAGATTAAGAATACCTTTGTAAAGGTGACAGGTATGCTAGCATCCAGCTGGATGTGATCTGCCAGTTCTGTAAATTGCTGCTGTTGTTTTTGTAATGTCTCTAGAAGTCTTGTAATTTCCTGTTTGGCCAACACTACTCTGCAGTCATCCTAAACAGACAAAAAAAAAAGGATTCCCTCCCATCAGTAACTTACTTTATATGATCAAAACCAAAATAATCATGGTGTCTGGAAATAAAACATTTCAAATATTCTTAAGGAAAATTAACCTTTACAAAATATGCTATTTAAATCACAAATGTAATTCTTCCTTAATACTAGCAAATTCTAAAAAGTTCTGCCATTTTTAAAAATTATGCTTTGACCTGTCTTAGTTCTCTAGGAATAAAAATATAAGTTACACTACAGAGCAATGAAATACATAAATAATACTTTTATCATTTATATCATTCACTCCAGCAGTTAAAATAAAACAGCACTTTGCAGCATACAACAACATATTTAATAAAGAAGGAAGATTAACATCCAGCACTAATGATGGGAATGTAAAATAGTGCCAGTTAAATGTCTATTTCACTAAGTAACCAAACACTAGTACTAAATCAATTTTTAGAAAGTACATTTGTCAAATTCAATTTACTGCTTGCTGCGCATACTGTTTACTTTTTGCCATCATCAAAGAGAATAACGGATCAACCTGGTACTATCAAATAGCCACTTTTTCACATTTAATAAAATATTAACTATCCAGACAGCAAGGCTTACAGAGAGCTATTTAATATGAACACATTCTTCTTTATCAGTGTCACACAAAAACTATTTTCAAATATTATACTGGTCATAACAACTGTAAAATGCCTCCCATAAGTATTGTAGGGTTTTTTGCTTCAATTTATCTCTTTCTTCCAACTCACCCCATGAGTGACTAGATGTTACTCCGGAGTACTCCAGGGTACATAATAATGCTGCAGCCACAGTATTTCCAGGAACAGGAGAACTTGATACTGTTGTACTGGTTATGTCATTCATGTATACCAAATACTCCATGGTGTATGATTATTGTTTTAACATTATGAAAGAAACAAGAATGTGGAAAACCATCTTTTTTTTTTCAATTTTATAGCCTAAACTTATTTTACTGTTCTCCTTCTCCTGCCCCATGTTATGGCTTGCCAGCCTACCTGCTGTAAAGTCTTTTCTCAATGAAGGCAAGCTGTTCAAACCTGCGACAACAGGATGGTCATGTCTTCTTGCTGCTGTCTAAACCAAATCAACTTCTCCCTCACATGAGCGTCAACAACACTGAGAGCCATTTCCTCCTGCCAACAAAGGGTTTTGTGAAGATCAGAAAAATAGGCTCGGACACACGAGCAAGCATTCTCCGCAGTCCCCGACACCTACAACATTATAGTCATGAGATCAACAGGAAATTTTGTTGCACCTTGCGAAAGAACGGA